ACACACATACACACATACATATATATGTCATCTTATTGCTTCGAACATAAAAGAGGATCGTCAGCTTTTATACTTTAAAGTTCAAAACTATCGGATAACTAAACGGGTAGAACTACCTTGGAAAAGCTGTGCCATTTTGTGTATATAAAAAGCTCTCCTGACCGACTCTCTAACAGAAACGGCAGCTATTGCGGTTAGTCACTTCTGCAAAGTGTACTTTCGCGCGGATGCAACCATTCATTATCCATTCCATGGCGCGTGAAAATTCGTTTCTTGTTTGACCTTCCGCATGGAGGATCTTACTTTGTCTTTTCGATCGTGCATCGATCGTGGGAGTGGTGCAAACGAGGCTTGCTACTTTATGGAAAGTCGAAAACAGGATGTCTCACTGACGATTAACGAAACGAGTGTACGAGCGTACGAGTGTATAAATCGATTGAGTAACGATTGAGAGATTTAGCCTGGGAAATACCGTATGTGCAATCTTTCTGCATACCTTTCCTCTCTCTCTCCAACGTTTAAGATTATACTGGCTCAACAAGTGATACTAAATAAGTAATATATTACATCTTAATGTGCTTAATATAAATTGGAAGTAAATAGTATAGTTAAATAATTGTATTTAATATTTTTTTTATAACACAAATACTTAATAAAAAGAAAAAAAAAATATATGTCATATATGAAATTTGTTAGAATATTGAAAATTATAAAATAGTAAAACTCTGTAGTTAAAGTTAGTAAGTTTGTTAAATAATAATAACATTATTTATTTAAAAGATTTCAAAACAGCTGATCATTAGTAATGAAGAATAATTCATCGTGACAATAATATTCTAATTAAACATTGGTATTATAGTTCAATTTATGAAGCAAACAACATCGTCTTTTAATAATTTGGCAATGTTTAGAATGTAAGTCATTATATATGAATAAGTTGGATAGTCAGTAGGTCAAGGTTATCGTGAAAAACTAACGGATATTCTCCATCTCTGAAATTACGTGATTCTAAATATTTAGTTGGAAAGTTTTTTATCAATAAAATTTAATCTGCGATTAGTGCGTGAGATTCCTGACATGCAACATCTAATTATTTAAATAAGATTTTATGATAAATCATTTAAAATCGAAGAGAAAAGATAGAAATATTTACCAAAAAAAAAAAAAAACTGAAAATCACAAAATATTACAGTTAATGTTAAAATTTGACGATTTAAGCATTTTGATTAACTGAATATTGCCAGAATTTTTATCAGACGATTTTGTTCATTTGCCCGTCTAAATTATATTTGTTGAAGAATGATTCAATCATTAAATTAATAATTTATAATTTGTTCTGACATTAAATATTTTTTTATTCAAAATAGTTTTTATATTTTTTGACTTTAATTTGTGGAAAATTACACGATTGCTTTTAATAGTCTATCTTTAATAATCGTCTTTTTAGAGATATTGATATTTTGTGAATGTGAAATAAATATGTGCATAATTAAATTTTACCGCTTCTCATCTACAGTTATTAATTTAGAATCTATCTATAGTAAGCTATTTATAGTAAGCTTAAATTGCTAATTAATTATAATGTATAATCAAGGGATGAGTCTAAACGGTTATTATTAATTAAAATTGGGAATTAAATTTAATTTGAAGTGACTGAAAAATCAATATCAATATACGTAATCAATATACGTAAATCTCCACACAATTTGTTTCACACAAATGCGTTTAAGAATATATGAAAGTTGACAGTTTAAGCAACAAATTTTAAATTATTATTTTTCATTCAGTTGTATATTATTCGCGTAAAAATTCGGAAACGCGTGAAAAATTAAAACTTTATTCGATTACCCAATATGTTTGTATCGATCTACTTACTGAGCTATGTCTGTAAGTTTTCTCAGTATGATTGATGTTTGCGTCATTTTTGGATTTTTAACGAGACATGATTTGCATAATCATAAACAGTGGAGAACGAGATCGTATAAGAGCTTATCTGTTTACATGAAAAACAAATGCTAAGTTAGATTTAAAGCTTAATGAAGAGCTTATGGGAATTACATTCTACCTAGTAACACGTGATAACTAAATGCATCGATTTCAAGCAGTGTAATCGGTGAAGTTCTAGGCCGAAGTCTCTTCCTCGATCTTTGTCAAAGATTGATTACGATTCTATTTATCATATCTCCTTTCACCGTCACACTTTGTTAGCCGTATCGATCTCGCGCACGAGGACCGTTCGTGGCTGCTCGCTTCGATAGTTCGTCATCTTCCCTGCGATTAGCGATCCGATCATTGTCGATCGCGAGTACGTACCATACCGACGGCCATATTTACATCGTGACCTATATAACGAGTATGTTGTCTGATCGGCTTCCAACTGCCAGCCGAGTCCTTAGATCCCGGCAGATCGTCGGCGTTCGTGAACTTTGCACGTCATGTACGCTATAACGAGAGCCTAATGATGACTATAAGGAAAACGCGAAAGTCAAGGGTGACATGGAAGGTCGTGCCGAGGCTCTCCGTCTCTTCCTTTTACATACAACACACGCTCCCATTCTCTTCCTTTCTCTCCTTATTCTTTCCATTCCTCTCCGCGAGCACGTTTCCCCGCCCAAGAATTGCATGATTCCGCAAATTACAGGATTTCTAGCTCGAGCGCCTCTTCGCCGAGGCATCTACTTTCCTGATTCATCCAATTATCATTCCGTACTTGTTTACTTAATGGTTATATCTCCCTCAATTTTACCTTTATGTCAAATTAAATAAGATAATCTTTTTTATTTAATCTAACATCTTATTAACAAAATTAACAAAATATTTTCAAGTAATATTTTTGTTTTTTCTTAGTTATAAAAAAATTTGTAATTTTATAAATTTGATGAGAAGACGGAAGCCAGTGTTACTTTTTTGAAATAATAATTAAGTAACAATTAAAAATTTAAAATTTTTACCTCGTATAGCGTCCCTAAAGATGGAAGTCTTATCTTGAAAATAAATGATAATTAAAAATTTTAAATCTTTACCTCGTATAGCATCCCTAATGAGAAGACGACCTGAAACGCGTTGTATGCCACCAGGATTCTTCTAAGTTTATACGGTTTTCTGTTGGCCATCATACGCGGGCCGAATATAACAACGCCGTACAAATAAAGAAGTACGATAAGAATAGTCGGTACAGGTGAATCCATCAGCGGCCAGTCGCTGACACGTGGATCAGAAACTGTCGTAAGAATCTCCGTGTATTGATCCAAGGCCATTTTGACCAGGCCCTGGGCACCTACGAAGGTCCTATTCGAGTCCGTTATTTCGATCCTCAACTCCGGCTCTCTCTCCGCCACCAATTCCGCTGCCGCAGACGCCATTTCTAAAAAAAATAAATTAGTGTTAAAAAATATTTAACTTTAATCAGATCATAAATTTAAAAACTTTGCCAGTAAAATATTAAAAAAAAAAAAAAA